AATCCAGCACCTCAACCACCACCCTGTTTTGTTTGTTTTGTTTTTAAAGTAAAATGATTGTAGTAAATTAAAGGATCCTACATGAACAGACACACAGATTGTGTTCCCGTAATGAGTCATTTCTCTTCCGTATACTTTGAAGTATTCGCACCCTTCCTGGAGAGCTACGGTTACTAGTATAACACTTTTAATCTGCTATGCCAGAGGCCATGTCTTTAGTGACTCTTAGGCCAGTCCAGCTTAAGACTCAGACCGTACCATTCACAACCCTGGAACAAGAGATATGACTGGGCCTCAGTTTCTTCATCTATAAAAATGGAGGTAACATCTTCAAGGACGAATCCGGGCTGAACAAGATAAGATACACAGCAGCACTTTTAAAGTAGAAGAGGAGGGACCAGCAGTTAGCATAATGGCTATGTCGCTGGACTCCCACATAGTCGACTGCGGTTCGCATCCAGGACCCGGTGGCTTAAAACTCACACCGGGCACGTGTGCGTATGTGCCTAAGATACCGAGAGGAGAACGGAGGAGAAGGGATTGCGACGTGGCCATCCCCCCTAGGGGGTGATTTCTCTCTTTCTGTCTCTATGTCTCTCTCTGTCTGTCTGGCGAGCGCACGCACCCTATAGCGAAAACCTCTCCAAAAAATAAATAAATAAATAAATAAACAAACAAACAGAATAAAAATAAAAGTAGAAGAGGGAAGCGGAAATGAATGCACGAGCCCGTTACGTGGCCCCGTCAGGTATTTCCTTGTGAATCTAATACAACCCCGTGGCTCATGTTTCTTCTTAGAAACAGTTTCAAGTCACAGTGAGTCTGTACTTTTCAATTTTCTCAAGCATCTTGGTTCGCTTCTTGCTGAGCAGCCGTTTTAGGAATCTCAGAAAAAGCGAAGAGTCGGCCAATTATACTTAGATATGACATCAGTGTTTCAATTTTAATTTCATTTAGCAGTGAATTTTCTTTTGCCTGTCCTAGATATAGAGAAAAATTCATTTATTTTTAAAACTATTTCTAACTTCCAAGGTCTCTTAAGCTAGCATTAATAAGCCAGTGTTGCTCAGCTCGCTCCTCCAGCACAGCTTCAAGATGCTTAAACGGACTCCTTTTCCTTTTTAGCCAGCACCTTTTATTTGATGGAAACCGCACCTGCCTAGGGAATTAGCCCAGTATTTAAATAAAAATGTATCCGTTCATTACCACACATTCTCTGAACTGGCTGTTTGCACCTTGTTCCACATTGAGCTCATCAAGTCCTCACGATGCCACGTTACATTCAGTCTCAGGAGGTGTCATTTTTCCAATTCAACCTAGACACCGCATGGCCTTTATGGAGACTTCCATAAATACAGCGCTGCTTCAGTCACTCCCGCGAGCAGGGGACGCACCCAAAGAACAACCTTCTCCTCGGGCAAGGGCTTCTGTGTGTCGGCAGCCTCTTCATTTCTCTTCGCCCTGGCTAGCCTGCTTCCCTGAATATCATGTCTTCTAACAGCCCTCTCTGGGCAGTGCAGGAGGCCCCATCCATCCCCGCATGTCACCAGCTGCGCGGCAGCCGGGCATCTCATTATGACAACGCAGAGCATTCTGGGAGAGTGACAGGGGAGAGGGGGAGAGGAGGCCGGAGCAGTGGAAAATGTGGGCTCACTTCCTGGGTGATGATAACACGGTTTGGAAGAAAGAACTTCCTTTTCTAGAAAGGAAGACCACGGAGGATGTCAAAGACCCATGCCCGAGCAGATCCCCGACTACGACCTGGTTACAGCTGCCCGGCCCCACCGCGCCTCCCTGCGCTCGCGCAGGACCCCCCAGCTGACTGCCACAGGAGCTGTGCTGCTGGGAGGAAAACAGGGACTCCAGGCATCGAAGGAAAACCTATGGCTCCAAAACGGAAATTGGAGATACGTGCACAGATTCAAAAAGTTCACGGAAAACACATGCCAAGAAACGAACGATGCCTACATTGCGTCATTCTTTCGCACCGCACTAAACCCATGCTTTAATTCCACTTTTTTTCCCCAAACCTTTTTGAAATTTCCTGGTGTATATATGTGCATCATGTATATCCCCCTGTGCGTGCACACGCACGTGCACGCGCACACATTACTAGCTTACTTAATAGAAAAACGTGTTGTTCCCACGAACCTAAATGGTTACATTTTATTTTATTACACTGCCTTAGCCAAGATAGGTTTAAGCAAATGCCTGTCACATTCTGGGGGGTCGCAGACCCCTTTGAGACATGAAGCATGATGACTATCACAGGCATTCACCCGAGCTCACGCCTGTTCCCTTCTGAAACTCCGGGGGTGGCAGGGAGCAGGGGGCGGCTACCCTCTGTTTTGAGTAGGAGCTTGGTCTTCCCCTTAGCTTTCCTCCCAAGTGCGGGTCCCCCTTGGGAAGGAGGGGAGGCTGGCTCCAGGCCGGCGCCTTCAGGGAAGTGTGAAAGTAGTAGACAGAGCAAGATGGGAGAGCTGCTCTTTGGAGAAGAGGTGCCGAGGATAAACCTCACTTCTCTCCAGACTGTGCGCACCCCAGCCCCAACTGTTTTTCCTGCAGCTCTGCACACCCAGCTCTGGGTCCTCCCTGCCACAGCCTTTCAGCTTCTCTCCGGCTTCTTGGTCTCACCCCCTCACCCCCTGGCCCTAGGCCCTGAGACCCAGAAATGGCAGCTCCCACTGCAAGCCAGGCTCCCCCAGCTGTCCTGCCTCACCCCCACAGACTGGTCGGTTTTTCCTGAAAGCCTCATCTTGAGCCCCACGACTGTTCCCCACCCCCTTTTTTCCCCCTTCTATTTTTCAACCCTCTCTTTCCCATTCCCCCTCCCTTTTCTTTTCTGGCTTTGAAACCCTATCAGCACAACCTGAGTCTGTTCTAAACCTCCATTCCCATCTTATAAACCTCCATTCCCATCTCATAACTTCAGCTTCGAGAAACATTTCAAATCCACAGAGAATAGATTGGGGAGTAGAAATGCTGGCAAACATGTAAGTACCACTCATTCAGCACCAGGTACTGTTCTAAGAACTCATGTTAGCTCAGTTAAAAACCACGTTACGGGGACCAGTGGTTGGCGTAGTGGCTATGGCTCTGGACTCCCATGCAGTCGACCGCCATTCAAGTCCTGGACCTGGTGGCTTAAACTCACGCCTGGCATGTGTGCGTGCGTGCCCAAGATCCTGGGGGGAGAATGGAGGAGAAGGGATTGCGGGGTGAACATCCCCCCTGGGGGATAATTTCTTGCTTTCTGTCTCTCTGTCTCTCTCTATCTTTCTGGCGAGCACACGCGCCCTACAGCAAAAAGTCTCTCAAAAAAAAAAAAAAAGTCATGTTCCAGGTGAGGGGACCAAAGCACAGAGAGGTCAAGGGGTCAAGGAGTTTCTCCAAAGTCACAGAGCTGGGAAGTGACAGAGCTGGGAGAATTACTCCCAAACAGACTGGCTGTGGACTAGTATTTTCATTTTATTTTATTTTATTTTAGGTTTTTGCCATAGGCCATGTGTACCTACCAGAGAGAGTCCAAGAAAGAGGGCAAGTGAGAGATCAGATGGGATTTGGGCACACATGCCCACTCGCCTGGCGTGATGTTTTCAGTGATGAATCGTGGTTGGCTGTGTGGGAATCTGGCAACTTCACCACCACACCACCTGCTGGTCCCCCAGGACCTGTATTTTCCATCACTGTGCCATATCGCTTCTTTGCATAGCGTTTTTTGTTTTTTTTTTCTTTTTTGGAAAGAGATTTTTGGTATCCATCCATTTACCAGAGAAAGAGAGACAGAGACGTTGAGAAGGAAAGTGAGAAATCACCCCCCAGGGGGATTGCCATGTCACAATCCTGTCTCATCCGGTCTCCTCCAGTGATTTTGGGCATGCATGCACCTGCGCCCAGAGTGAGTTTCAAGCTACCAGGTCTGGGACTTGAACCAGCAGTCCACCACGTGGGAGTCCTCCAACGTCACCCCCATGCATTTTACAGAGGGCTACGCATCCAGCCTGCCGCACCGCCAGCACTCCCCTGTCCTTTCACATAGGAACCAGGCCTGCTTTCCAGCGCTCCGGGGCGGTGCCACGCATAGGCCCCGCCGCTCTCCCTTTCCCTGTGGCAGCACGAGTATGGTTTCCCTGATTCCGGGTGTGGACCTTCACTCTAACTTGTGAGACTCCCGAGGTGGACGGCGGCAGGGCGGCTTGCTGGGGTAGTGGGCAAGGGCCCAGTGCGGCAGAGCGCCTTCGAAGGCAGGTCCCTGCACACGGTCACAGGGTCAGGACGCATCGCTCTGGCTGGCCTGTGACCGCCCTCTCTGACTGGCTCCCTGGGGCGGATCAGGAGAGCCTCTGCATTCCTGGCCGGTGGAGGGCCAGGCCCCCTGCAGCAAGGGAAGGCAGACCTGTGTGCTCCTAGCCTTGCTGGCAGGCTGGAGAGGACTGGAACAAACCTGGCCAGCGTCCCAGAGGAAGGCCACAGAGGGGCAGCATGGGAACTCAGGAGGGGAACAGAGGCGGGGTCACTGGGGCTCATCATCCTGAGAGGGCTTAAGGCCCACTGTCTCGGTAGGAGCTCCAGGCCTTTTTAATTACATAGTTTTGTTTTTACTCTTTTTTGAATTTTGCTGTAGGGGCACGTGCTCACCAGAGAGGAGCAGAGAGAGAGAGGGACTGTGAGAAAGCCCCTCCCTGGGGGATGGCCCGCAATCCCTTCTCTGTCCTCAGGGTTGGGGGCACGCAAGCACGTGGGCCCGGCATGGTTTTCAGTCTGCCAGGTCAGGACTAACACTGCTGCTGGCCAGGTGGGATCCAGTGCCTTGTCTACCCTGGGCGGCAACGTCACACCTTCTTAGAGTCATGAAATGGAGACTCTTCTTTCCCTCCTCAGGGAGCCCGAGTCACCCTAGAGCACACCAAGTGTAGACCCGCTGTGACCAGCCTGGCCCCTCCGCCCGCGAGGGGCTTGTACTCAGGCGCTATTTTGGGGAGCGTGCCCCCATCACTTACCCGTCCAGTGTCTCATTCCCTCAGATCCTTGTGGGTGACCAGCTTGCTGTTCTCGGACAAGCTAAGTCGGGACAAGCACAGCTCAGTTAAGGTAGTACCTCCTCCAGTGGCCGCTAGGGAGGAGGAGGGGGAGGGAAAGGGAAGGGGAGGGAGGAGGGGAAGGAGAGGGAGAGGAGGGGGAGGAAGGGAGGAGGAAGGAGGAGGAGAAGGAGGGGAAGGGAAGAGGGAGGAGTAGGAGAGAGAGAGGGGAAGGGAAGAGGAAGGAGGAGAGGGAGGGGAAGGGGGGAAGGGAAGAGGAAGGAGGAGGAGACGGAAAGGGAGGGGAAGGGAA